GGGCGGTGGGCCATCCTGAGTCAAAGTGAGGTAAAGGCGCACAAACCGGAGACGTTTAAAGTGCAAGCTGGCCTGGCCGCCCCATTGAGGAAATACGGTGGACCCCCGCCCCCCCACCAAAAAAAAAAGGGAAAATCAGCTTAAAACTGTAACCATGTAGTGCTCAGAATGTTAGTCAAAGTGTGGTTAAGCTATTTTGAAAATTGGGGAATTTTTCAGGGCCATTTAAAGATTTTTTTTTCTTGAAATCAAAGAGTGTTATTAGGGTCACACTGATAAGAAAAAACACAATTTTATGAACTTTACCTGCATGACTTTTATTCCCCTTAAAATAAATGCTACGTTATTCTTGTAAAATTGGGCTTTATTATTGGAAATGTATGTTTTCTTTTTTCCTCAAAATTAATTTTTAAATAAGACTGCCAGAAAAAGAAATCTTTGTGATGTTTTGCTTTTTTTTTTTTTTTTTTTTAATCGGGACATTTATTTCACCGAAAAATCCGACGTGATTATTGGCATTGTGAAGTATTTCTTCTCAGTGTGGCCCTAACATTCTCATAAGTGTAAGAAAAGACGTAGTTTTGAAAAGAAGGCGAGGCGAGAAGTCGAGGCACGCTGACAGAGCGGACGCACGCTTGCGGCCGATGACGACGGAGCGAGCGAGCGCGATTCTGCCGCTCAGATGCGCTCCTTGAAGGCTCCCCGCGCCGCCCCGGAGGCGGCGGCCGCCTGCACCGTCTTGTTGGACATGACGCCCGTGGCCAGCTCCTGTTGGGCCTTCTGGAAGCTGGCGCCGGTGGTGCGGTACATGGCGTGCACCTGACGGAACAAAAGGCGTTACAACGGCGGCGGGGCCGTTACGAGGGATGGGATGGGATGGGGGTCCAACCTTCTTGAACATGACCAGCGACATGACGGCCAGCGCGGTGAACAGCGCCGCCACCAGGATCATCAACACGCCCGCGGCCACGCTGGTGTTCAGGCACGTCAGCGCCGAGATCCAGCCGCTGAGGACGGACCAAAACGCCTTCTTTAGCATCAAGCAGCTATGAAGACTAAGGTGTGGTTTTTTTTCTTTTTTTCTCTCCCTCTCCATCGTTAGGTGCGTTGGTATTATTATTCTTCAGTAAATTCATTTGAATTTTCCCAAATTTCACGGGCGAGGAGGGTGTTTTACTCAACTTTTTCCAAATAATAAAAATGAGCTGCCCCTCACGTCTCCGTCGCCTTTACACAAATGAAAAGTATCAAGTATCTGACAGCTATAAAAGTTCAGATGTTTCTTTGATTTCATTCACCGAACTCATTTGCATTCGTACCCTACTTGTCGTATTTCAGTGGACAGGAGGATCTTGAGTTCCTCAACGCCCGAAAGTACGATGAAGGCAAATCGGAGGGGTAAGGTGCTGCTAAAGTGTTTGATTGGAGTTGCAATCAGTATTGATGCTATTTATTGATTTTGTCATGATCTTCTGCCGAGCAGCGCCCCGCAATGCAGTGTTTCCTACCAGGCTCCCCATCCCGGGATGCCCACGCTCTGCATCACGTACACGCCCAGCTGGCACACGTACACGAAGAAGAAGAGAAAGAAGCGGAACGAGCTGTCGCTCCTGCCACACACAAACAAGAAGAAAAGGTCAAAGATGGCGACGTGGCGCAGGAACGTCAAAGAGGGTGGGCCGGCAGCTGACTTGAAGGCCCCGTAGACGGGGCGGTACCAGCACACGAAGGAGCACGGCGTGAACAGCAGGAACCACAGGACGGCCAGACCGAAGTCCACGCCGCGGGAAGAGTCCACGCCGAACCACGCCAACGAGCCCGCCAGGTTGGCCAGTAGCGTCCCCGTGTGGACTGGAAGTGAAGGACACACATGGCAATTCCATCTACCCCCCCCCCACCCCCCATCACCAAGGGCAAAAAAACCCACACATCCACAGGTAGTACATGATCTTGACCGTCTTCTGGTACTCCACGGGAATGTCCACCGTGATGTCGTGATAGAAACACGGGCCAACCGGGAACTTCTCCGGGAGCGGGGGCCAGTTGTTTCTCCTACCTGGGGGAATCGGATGAAGAAAAGAGATTCAACGCATGATTCTGTTATGAGGGAGAACAATTAATTTTACAAAGCAGTGATATCCAGTGTAGCGGCGAATCGGAACATTGGGCCACTTTGTTTTCCACAATAGGGCAGAAGTATTATGATTGTGATTATAATTATTGTAGAGTACCATGTAGAGTAAGGCGTATTTTTGCCCCAAAAAAAAACCCGACCATGTATAGTAAGGCGTTTTTAGCCGAAAAAAAGGACAATGTATAGTAAGGCGTGTTTAGCCGAAAAAAAACGCCCATGTATAGTAAGGCGTATTTTTGCCCCAAAAAAAACCCGACCATGTAAAGTACGGCGTTTTTAGCCGAAAAAAAGGACAATGTATAGTAAGGCGTGTTTAGCCGAAAAAAAACGCCCATGTATAGTAAGGCGTATTTTTGCCCCAAAAAAAACCCGACCATGTAAAGTACGGCGTTTTTAGCCGAAAAAAAGGACAATGTATAGTAAGGCGTGTTTAGCCGAAAAAAAACGCCCATGTATAGTAAGGCGTATTTTTGCCCCAAAAAAAACCCGACCATGTAAAGTACGGCGTTTTTAGCCGAAAAAAAAGACCATGTATAGTAAGGCGTATTTTTGCCCCAAAAAAAACCCGACCATGTAAAGTAAGGCGTTTTTAGCCGAAAAAAACGACCATGTATAGGAAGGCGTTTTTAGCCGAAAAAACGACCATGTATAGTAAGGCGTATTTTTGCCCCAAAAAAAACCCGACCATGTAAAGTACGGCGTTTTTAGCCGAAAAAAAAACGCCCGTTTTTAGGCGAAAAAAACGACCATGTATAGGAAGGCGTTTTTAGCCGAAAAAACGACCATGTATAGTAAGGCGTATTTTTGCCCCAAAAAAAACCCGACCATGTAAAGTACGGCGTTTTTAGCCGAAAAAAAAACGCCCGTTTTTAGGCGAAAAAAACGACCATGTATAGGAAGGCGTTTTTAGCCGAAAAAACGACCATGTATAGTAAGGCGTATTTTTGCCCCAAAAAAAACCCGACCATGTAAAGTACGGCGTTTTTAGCCGAAAAAAAAACGCCCGTTTTTAGGCGAAAAAAACGACCATGTATAGGAAGGCGTTTTTAGCCGAAAAAACGACCATGTATAGTAAGGCGTATTTTTGCCCCAAAAAAAACCCGACCATGTAAAGTACGGCGTTTTTAGCCGAAAAAAAAACGCCCGTTTTTAGGCGAAAAAAACGACCATGTATAGGAAGGCGTTTTTAGCCGAAAAAACGACCATGTATAGTAAGGCGTATTTTTGCCCCAAAAAAAACCCGACCATGTAAAGTACGGCGTTTTTAGCCGAAAAAAAAACGCCCGTTTTTAGGCGAAAAAAACGACCATGTATAGGAAGGCGTTTTTAGCCGAAAAAACGACCATGTATAGTAAGGCGTATTTTTGCCCCAAAAAAAACCCGACCATGTAAAGTACGGCGTTTTTAGCCGAAAAAAAAACGCCCGTTTTTAGGCGAAAAAAACGACCATGTATAGGAAGGCGTTTTTAGCCGAAAAAACGACCATGTATAGTAAGGCGTATTTTTGCCCCAAAAAAAACCCGACCATGTAAAGTACGGCGTTTTTAGCCGAAAAAAAAACGCCCGTTTTTAGGCGAAAAAAACGACCATGTATAGGAAGGCGTTTTTAGCCGAAAAAACGACCATGTATAGTAAGGCGTATTTTTGCCCCAAAAAAAACCCGACCATGTAAAGTACGGCGTTTTTAGCCGAAAAAAAAACGCCCGTTTTTAGGCGAAAAAAACGACCATGTATAGGAAGGCGTTTTTAGCCGAAAAAACGACCATGTATAGTAAGGCGTATTTTTGCCCCAAAAAAAACCCGACCATGTAAAGTACGGCGTTTTTAGCCGAAAAAAAAACGCCCGTTTTTAGGCGAAAAAAACGACCATGTATAGGAAGGCGTTTTTAGCCGAAAAAACGACCATGTATAGTAAGGCGTATTTTTGCCCCAAAAAAAACCCGACCATGTAAAGTACGGCGTTTTTAGCCGAAAAAAAAACGCCCGTTTTTAGGCGAAAAAAACGACCATGTATAGGAAGGCGTTTTTAGCCGAAAAAACGACCATGTATAGTAAGGCGTATTTTTGCCCCAAAAAAAACCCGACCATGTAAAGTACGGCGTTTTTAGCCGAAAAAAAAACGCCCGTTTTTAGGCGAAAAAAACGACCATGTATAGGAAGGCGTTTTTAGCCGAAAAAACGACCATGTATAGTAAGGCGTATTTTTGCCCCAAAAAAAACCCGACCATGTAAAGTACGGCGTTTTTAGCCGAAAAAAAAACGCCCGTTTTTAGGCGAAAAAAACGACCATGTATAGGAAGGCGTTTTTAGCCGAAAAAACGACCATGTATAGTAAGGCGTATTTTTGCCCCAAAAAAAACCCGACCATGTAAAGTACGGCGTTTTTAGCCGAAAAAAAAACGCCCGTTTTTAGGCGAAAAAAACGACCATGTATAGGAAGGCGTTTTTAGCCGAAAAAACGACCATGTATAGTAAGGCGTATTTTTGCCCCAAAAAAAACCCGACCATGTAAAGTACGGCGTTTTTAGCCGAAAAAAAAACGCCCGTTTTTAGGCGAAAAAAACGACCATGTATAGGAAGGCGTTTTTAGCCGAAAAAACGACCATGTATAGTAAGGCGTATTTTTGCCCCAAAAAAAACCCGACCATGTAAAGTACGGCGTTTTTAGCCGAAAAAAAAACGCCCGTTTTTAGGCGAAAAAAACGACCATGTATAGGAAGGCGTTTTTAGCCGAAAAAACGACCATGTATAGTAAGGCGTATTTTTGCCCCAAAAAAAACCCGACCATGTAAAGTACGGCGTTTTTAGCCGAAAAAAAAACGCCCGTTTTTAGGCGAAAAAAACGACCATGTATAGGAAGGCGTTTTTAGCCGAAAAAACGACCATGTATAGTAAGGCGTATTTTTGCCCCAAAAAAAACCCGACCATGTAAAGTACGGCGTTTTTAGCCGAAAAAAAAACGCCCGTTTTTAGGCGAAAAAAACGACCATGTATAGGAAGGCGTTTTTAGCCGAAAAAACGACCATGTATAGTAAGGCGTATTTTTGCCCCAAAAAAAACCCGACCATGTAAAGTACGGCGTTTTTAGCCGAAAAAAAAACGCCCGTTTTTAGGCGAAAAAAACGACCATGTATAGGAAGGCGTTTTTAGCCGAAAAAACGACCATGTATAGTAAGGCGTATTTTTGCCCCAAAAAAAACCCGACCATGTAAAGTACGGCGTTTTTAGCCGAAAAAAAAACGCCCGTTTTTAGGCGAAAAAAACGACCATGTATAGGAAGGCGTTTTTAGCCGAAAAAACGACCATGTATAGTAAGGCGTATTTTTGCCCCAAAAAAAACCCGACCATGTAAAGTACGGCGTTTTTAGCCGAAAAAAAAACGCCCGTTTTTAGGCGAAAAAAACGACCATGTATAGGAAGGCGTTTTTAGCCGAAAAAACGACCATGTATAGTAAGGCGTATTTTTGCCCCAAAAAAAACCCGACCATGTAAAGTACGGCGTTTTTAGCCGAAAAAAAAACGCCCGTTTTTAGGCGAAAAAAACGACCATGTATAGGAAGGCGTTTTTAGCCGAAAAAACGACCATGTATAGTAAGGCGTTCTTAAACACAAAAAAACGACCATGTATTGTAAGGCGTTTTTTTGCCCAAAAAAAACGACCATGTATGGTCAGGTGTTTTTCACAAAGAAAAAAAATAAAAAAAATGACCATGTCCAGTCAAGCGTTTGGTGAATTGTTCCTTGGTGTGAGTGTGAGCGCGAAGAGGATCAGAAAATGTAAGGCCACGCATGTTTTTGAGAACACACATGGAGGCCGGAGCCGGAATCGAACCCTCCACCGCTGCATTGGGACGCTTACGCACTAACCATTCGACTACCAGGCCGGCCATGAGCACTTCACATTGTCCCGATAAAAGACACTTTTTTTCAAAATATGAGCCCATGAATAATCAGGCTTATGTTTGTGTAGGAAGGCATTTTTCACAATAAAAAACTAATGTGTATCAGAAGGCCTTTTGTGAATTGTTTCTTGGTGTGAATGAGAGCGTGAAGAGGATGAGAAAATGGATGACCTTGCATGTTTTTGAGAACACACAGGAAGGCTGAAGCCGGATTTCAACCCTGCACCTCTGCATGGTGACGCAGACGCGCTAACCACTTGACTAGCAGGCTGGCCATGAACACCCTGCATTGTCTCTATATGAAACTGTTTTTTAAAAAATACGAGAGCATGAACAGTTATGCTTTTTTGTGTATCATTTTTTAAGTATGGAAGGCGTTTTTACAGCCAAAAAAACAACCACCTTCAATTCCAATCCGCAACTCCCGGTTCCACATACGCATCAACGCGCTGCGCTGACGCTCCTTTCTTCTCACCTACGGTTCCACAAGGCCTCGATCCATCCAGCCGCCGACAGTCCAACAGCACGATGTATAGTAAGGCGTTTTTGGCACGAAAAAAACGACATAGTATCGTAAGGCGTTTTTAGCCGAAAAAAACGACCATGTATAGTAAGGCGTTTTTAGCCGAAAAAAAAACGACATAGTATAGTAAGGCGTTTTTAGCCGAAAAAAAACGACATAGTATAGTAAGGCGTTTTAGCAAGAAAAAAAACGACATAGTATAGTAAGGCGTTTTTGGCACGAAAAAAA